CCCGAGCGGGAATTCCTCAAAGGCCAAAATCTCCCTTCACTAACAGGCCACCAAAAATAGCGCTTACCTCAGCTGCTCTATTCCCATCAAGGAAGGGGCGTTCCTGGGGCAGAGGGCTCTCGCACCGAAGGGAAGTCTAGAAAGTAAAAGACATTACCCAGGGAGTTGTCCTTCCTACGGGGCTGCTGCTCTAAGGCTCAGCACAAAGTGGATTTCCTGCGCAGCAGCTTGCAAAACGCTGAGGTGGTGCCGTGGCAAAGTGAGCAAAGCGCCGCGCGGACGGGAACTTAAACGTGCTGCATGCGCAGGGGGCACGAGGAGCTCCCACTTGGGCTTCGGCAGTTTTATAGCCTTTCCCTGCGAAACCTGCCTTTCCAGGTGCGAAACCGAAAGCCGGGTCCACGGAGCAGGGCCTGGAACCGACCCGTGTGGATACGGGAGGAACCTGCACCCGGGACGCGGCCGCGCGAGGCCGGGACGGGCAGCGCAGCTGCTGCACTTAAACACCAGCAGAAACGGGAGCGGGGCGACTTTAACTCTACCCCTTAATACTGTATGACCATTAAAAACAAAAATTTGGAAGAGAGTTTAAAATGTGCCCTTAAAAGCAATCTGAAGCTATTAGTAACACAAGGTGAAAGAGAGAGTAAATTCAGGGACACAATATAAACCCAAGCAGCTGAAAGGCCTCAATTACGCTGAAAGGAGTTATCTGGTATTTAAATAATTATTAGATTGAAGGAATAATCACAGGTCTGAGCTGATTTTTTTCCCCCACTGTCATCCTAATGGAGACTATAATATTATTATTCAAATGCCCATGATTCTCATTTAGGGGGGAAGAAAAAAGGGCTCATTTAATCTCCATGCGACAGGGCTTCAGGAGGCATGATTAGTCATTTCTCTCATTTCAGCTGTCACTCACTTACAGGCACCACAGTTTGTCATTAGTGTTATTTTATGCACATTAGGAAAAAAAAAAGGAAAATTAAAGAAAAAAAAAAAAAGAGAGAGAGAATCTCCCGCGGAAAATGACGGATCAAAGGACCAATTTTGATGTCATCAGCGCGGCAGCTGCGTTTCACTCTGTGGAGCTCACAGCTCTGCTGCGGATGGAGCTGGGGCCGCAAGGAGGATTTGTGCCTCCCCGTTCGCCTGCAGCCCCCTGCCTTCACAGGCCCCTTCGCTTCTGCTTCCATCGGATTTCCCGGCTCTGCCTGATCCTGTCACCGGTGTCACGCTGACCACGGCGATGCTAAACCCACCGTGCAGCCCCTGGAAGAACCGGTCCCCTCCGAGCTGGGCTGCACCTCCGAGCAAGCCGCCCGTCTCGGCAGTACGAGGGGCGGAAAAGCATTCCCGACTCTTCCCTGCCATTCCAGGCTCCTAAAGCTGCTTTTAGACCTGCCCAGGGCTTGGTCCCCCCGGGCTGCCGCTCTTTACCCTGATGCCACAAGCTGGAAGTGGATTCTGCCCTTTCTGCTTTCCGTGGTCACGCCGGATTCACTGCGGCGAGGCCAGGAGCGGGGGGACGGGCGTCCGCGGCAGCCGGACACTGCCACAGTCACAGAGAGGGTCACCGAAGGCCAGGCCGCGCTGCGCCAGCTAAAACAAACTAAATAC